GTGTGTGTGTGTGTGTGTGTGTGTGTGTGTGTTTATAAGTAGTTTTAAACCTGATCCACAAAACAGCATAACAGTAAAAGAAGAACTGATTGCATTACAGTCAGTGTGGGAGCAGCGGCTTCGCTCATGCGCGATTCATTTGCAGTTCGGATGCACAGGTGTGAACATCTCCTGCCCTGATAGCAGCTGGGGGAGGACTATCCTCCGCCTGTGAGCGCTTTGGCACGGGCGAGGTTCCCACGGCAGCACCCGCTGCTTGTTGAGAGTAAGAGCGATACGCGCTTTCACGTCAAAAAGTCGTCATAAATAAGTCTCCAATAACACCAGAAAAAGTCGCCAGATTTGTCGCTAGTCGCTTATTAGAAAAAAAGTCACTAAGGGGGTCTGAAAAGTTGCTAAATATAGCGACAAAGTCGCTAAGCTGGCAACACTGGTAACTACTGCCCCTCCCCCCTCTTCCCAGCGCAAAGCACAAGGCTAGCATGTGGAGTGAAGCGGAAAAAAGTGGAGAGAGGGTGAGAGAAAGGAGAAAAAAAAACAACCACGGCTTGCGATAAGGAGCCGGCTTGTGTCGTTCACGAGCCATTTCGTTTGCGATCGACACATCACTACTAGTGATGGTAAATTTGATTCTTGTTACTGAATCGGATTTAATGAGTCACTCACCAAAGTGAATCGGGTTTTTGAGCCTATTGATTCACTGAGTCAGTTGACCAGAGAGTGCAAAAAATGTACATTTTCACTCAAACTTAATTTGTTTCTCTTTTCATGTAAATCCTACTGCTAAGATGAATGATTCTAAAAGAAAACAACTATTTTATAGAGCAAAAAAGAGCAAAAACATTTCTAAAATTAAGCAATTTCCTATTAAAATTGCTTAATAAACATTTATTTTGTTTATGGTAAATGGTAAATGGCCTGTATTTATATAGCGCTTTACTAGTCCCTAAGGACCCCAAAGCGCTTTACATATCCAGTCATCCACCCATTCACACACACATTCACACACTGGTGATGGCAAGCTACATTGTAGCCACAGCCACCCTGGGGCGCACTGACAGAGGCGACAGAGGTTTATTTTTATTTTATTAGCATTTTCCTTAAATGTGTTAAATATATATTTTCTCATCTAAATGTCCACTGAGCTGTGAGCCAGGGGGCGGTAATGCGCCTTAACATTGGTTGCCAACCAAGAAGAAGAAGAAGCTGTGAGCCAGGAGGGAGGGGGTTAGTGAGTCCTGAGTGATTCGCTTAAGCTTATGATTCAGCACAGGAAGGGAGGGGGGTAAGTAGCTCAAATGTGCTGTTAGCATGTTAGCAGAGCGATGCTACTGTGAACCGAGAAGCTATTTTCTTGATGTGAGCTTCTACTCAGGGTTTTTTCTTCCAGTTCAGAGCAGAATTTTTTTTGTTAAGATACTGGATGTTGTGTTTTTCTCCAGAATTTTAATTATAAGCTAGATACATTGCTGCTAACAGCAACAGGGATGAGTCAGTGAGTCAGTTGGGCCTGTGAATCATGATTCATGAGTCAGTAAAGTGATTCTCGAGTATTGAACGATTTGTTCATGATTCGCGCAGCACTAATCACTACTGTCCAGTCTCTGAGGTGACAGCACTGCTGTGGCTCCTACAGCTTCATGCACAGCCTGCAGAGCTGATGGAGTCTGCTCTCAGCTGCACAGCAGTGAACACCAGCAGCACCACCCGTTAGCACACAGTGCTCCCTCTGCTAACAAAGGACTGTGAGGCTTCCTGTACCAACTGACAGGATCCAGCTCTGCAGACAGATGGTAACACATCACCGCAGCACAAATAGCACAGGTCTAATATATGCACGCACGACTCGGTGTGAATGTGACCTTTAACCCTGATGACCGCAGTGTGCGGGTTGGTGTATTTCACAGTCAGTGGCTAACGTTTGGTCCTGCATGCTAACTGATAACCTTCCTGGAAGCTGAACAGCGTTTGTTTAATTCACCCTCAGCGTGACTGAAGGCTCCCACTGAACATGCTCTTTGTTCCCAGTGACCACATGTTCACCCACGTGGTGCACACACTCTTCTTTTACATGACCTCAGTCACATGTTTGTGTTTGCCTCTTACTTTGTAAAACACACATGTTGGTGTTGCAGCTGTCTCACTGTCGACTTACTTTGTACTGATTCATTAAAGATTCATCCAAGCTCTGTGGTTTCTAATAATTCTGGAAAGGTTATTGTTTGATCTGTGTTTCTGTCCTGATTATTACGAGGTTCAGTAAGTTCTCAACCAGTGTCGGTGTTGATGTTGGTGCTGTTCTCCTGAGGCGCTGTAACACTGAGTCGTTGGTCCAAGCTGTTAGAGCTGAGGATGTGTAATGTTGGTGAAACATGGAGTTTTATTCTGGTGATCTTGCTGTTTGCATGCTTGTTGTTCAATGTCTGTCCAGGGCTGAGTTTGCTCTGTGGGGCCAATAGGTTGGTCAGGAAGTAGCTCTAAGGTCCTTTAAGACTTTGTGGGATTTTGTAGTGTTTTCAATTTCATTTGTGGCAGGAAAACATAATTTTTATTAATCAACCCAGAGAATTAAACCATGTTGATGTTGGACGAGCTGGGATATTTCAAATAGGCAATTATAACTCATAATTATATTTTAATAATAGGCATTTGTTACGTAATGTGATTTATCTGATTATGTTTGTGTGTCTGAGGATGTTGGGATGACTTATAGTTTCCATTTTGTTTTTAGATTTGCTACAGAGCTGATTTTTTTTCTGTTTATGTCAGTGCGCCTCAGGATGGCTGTGGCTACAATGTAGCTTGCCATCAC